AGAATAGAATAGAATAGAATAGAATAGAATAGAATAGAATAGAATAGAATAGAATAGAATAGAATAGAACTCTTTATCGGCCAAGTGTGATTGGACACAGAAGGAATTTGTCTTGGTGCAAATGCTCTCAGTATACATAAAAGAAAAGTTACATTCGTCAAGAGTCAAGAATCATCAGGAACAACACTTAATGATAGTCCTAGGGTACATTAAGCAATTAGGGGCGACATGCTGGCTTTCTTTTGCTACTTGAGGGACTGTCACAGAGAAGAAGAGATTGACTGATTCTCCAAAGCACCCGAGGGCAGGACAAGAAGCAATGGGTGGAAGCTCAATAAAGAGATTTCCTACCTGGAATGAAGGAGAAATTTAAGGGAAAGCAATTAATCAATAGAACAGCTTGCCTCTTGGAGTTATGGGTGCTCCATAGCTGAAGATTTTTAAGAAAAAATATTGTACGGCGGTTTGTCTGGGATATTATAAAATCTCTGCCTTGGGCAAGGATTTGAACTAGAATACCCACAGGGTCCCTTCAGTGCGATGGCTCTATGATTCATTATTCCCCCATAGTTCCCTTGGTAGGAGAAAATCCTTGTAATGATTGACTTTGCCCATATGGAACAATGAAACCATTGCCTGTTATCTTTTTTTTCACATCATTCCTTTTGTCAGGATATTTGTGCACAGTCTTTGGCGCCATAAATATCAAATTATTCAGGCCATCCAGGTATATTTTGTACTCTGGTATTTGTTTTTTTTTTGATAGGGTTGATGTAGTCTTTCCGAATGTTACTAATTAAGGGGATAATTGTATGATGGTTTTGCAAGAGCAGAATAGCCTAGGTTTTTGTACCCATCAGTTGTTGGAGAATTCTGTATTTTAGTTTTTATCAGTTAGTCATTTCACTCTAGCAAAGCATTCACATCATAATCTTACATTTTTTTTGTTACATCTTAGCATAAATCTAGTTTGTAATGATTAGGATAGCACATTCTTCTTAGGTTTAGTTATTTAGTTAATCGTATTGATTTAGTTAATCTTATTATTTAGTTAATCTTATTGATTTTATGCTATTAATTCTGTATTCATATACTGCATTCATAGCTGTATGGAGGCTTTATTATAGGCTACTGTATCTTATTTTGCTGATCATTGTGCAGAATAAAATTTCAGGTTTTTCCTTCTCTTCATTATCATCACAATCACTCTTCATTACTTTCAATCTCATTTTCTGCATAATGCGAACAGAATATGATATTTAGCCTTGCAGTGGGTGGATTGATTCCTTCCTTCCCTCCCTCCCTCCCTCATTTCTTCCACCCTCCCTCCCTTTCTCCTTCCTTCCTTCCTTCCTTCCTTCCTTCCTTCCTTCCTTCCTTCCTTCCTTCCTTCCTTCCTTCCTTCCTTCTGTCCATCCCTCCCTCCCTCATTTCGTCCACCCTCCCTTTTCTCCTTCCGTCCCTCCATCCCTCCCTCATTTCTTCTACCTTCCCTTTCTCCTTCATTTCTTCCATCCCTCCCTCCGTCATTTCTTTCTCCCTCCCTCCCTACTTCTTTTCTTCCTCTCTTCTTCTTTTATTCCACCCTCCCGCCTTCTTTCCATCCTCTCTCCTCCTTTTCTTCCACCCTCCCTCCTGTTTCACTGCACTGAGCAAGCCAGGTCTTCTTGATTTCTTTTGAGATGGGCAGAATCCAGGAACAAATCAAAGATATGCCACAGTATCTCTGGAGGTTTATGAGTATCTTCCCAGCCCCTTCCTGGGCTGGGCTGTAATTTTTACAGTAAGATTTCCTGAAGATAACAGTGCATTATGCAAACAGGTTTAAATCATTCTGGCTCTAAGAGTTGCCAGTAGAAGAAGTGGGGAAGGCAGAGAGAAGGAAAGATTCTTGGGAGGTTTTTTTTTTTCCACTGAGAGGCCAGAGAGAAATTAACTCTGAAGAAGATCGATTTCAAAAGACAGCGTATCTTCTAGACATCCACTCTAATCTTTCCTGGCCCATCTTTAGTGGCAGACAATTTGTTCCGTACTCTCCAGCTCCCTCCTTCAAAAAGTAGCAATCACAGTTTTTTTTTCTGGGGAAAAAAAGTATATACTTCGAAGTCTGTAGCTAAAGAGCTTAGAGAAGCTCGAGGAGAAGAAGGAGCGGTGGAAGAAGAAAAAGAAGGAGAAGGAGTAGAAGGAGGAGGAGAAGGAAAAGGAGGGGGAGAAGGAGGAGAGGAAGAGGAAGAAGAAGAAGAAGAAGAAGAAGAAGAAGAAGAAGAAGAAGAAGAAGAAGAAGAAGAAGAAGAAGAAGAAGAAGAAGAAGAAGAAGAAGAAGAAGAAGAAGAAAGCATCAACCAACTCTAGTTTTTCTTCTAACAAGATTCTTCTGTTACGTTACACTGAAGGCTGACTTTGCACATGGAGTCTGAGGTGGGAGTAAATTAATGGTGGGGAATGTGATGGGGGAAGTAATATTTGAACTACTTTAGCTTGTTGCAATCTGCTTCATGTTTATTTTCAACTTTTTTTTGCATTTCTCCCCTGCTGTTCAGTCTTTATTTGAATGAAGCAAGCAGGCTAAATAATAGGAGAGCACCTAGGCAGTTTTTTTTTCTTGTTAAACTTCTTCAGCCAGGCAGAAATACGTAATCTTCTCCGACTTGAAAACATTTGCTTTTATTTAAAAAACAATTCAGAGATATGTGTTGTGTCTTTTGCCATGCGCTCTTCAGCAAGAAGTTTGCACTGGATTTTCTTGTGAGTGGTTTGTGCGGAATTGCCATTCAAAAGATTTTAATCTAAACAGCATTGTGCAATTGGAAGACCCATCGATTGGTTGAGATTTTTTTTTTTAAGACCAAGTGTCCGCCAATCTTCCATGGTGAAAACCGGGTTTTCAAACGTTATTGGACATTGTTGATTTTGCTGAATAGGTCTTACGTCGTTTCTCTTCTATTTATTTTTAGGTACTATGCGTACTTAGATATTTGAAAAAGTGATCCATAAAAATAGGAGCCAGGATCAATATATCCTTCAAAGTCTTATTGAGATACTTGAGGCCGGTTGAGAATGATTGATGGAATGATAGGCAGATGAGAAGGGTGCATGAGGAGCATCTGAAGATGATCTTGCTGAAGATGGTAGTTGAGAAACAAACTGATAAACTCTGGACATTTCTGTAAATGTTAAATAACTGTTTGGTGTTTGGTTGAACTGAAGTTCCTTTTATTTCAGGCTTCTCTTAACCATTTGACACTGTACCATGGAACACCATAGGAGAGCTTCGTATTAAAATCCCTAGCATTATATTCTGTCCTTGTCAAAACTGAGATGGAGAGAAAAAAAAAATGAGGAAGCTGGATCCTGTTGTAATTACAATCTCCATCTCCACCCATCTCCAAAGCTTTCTGAAAACAAGACACCCACTACTGATAATTGGTGCCAGTGCCCTTTTTGTCTTGTGGCACTGAATCTTGTGGGATTTTCCTGCTGTTTCAAGAGACCTGTTGCTTTCTCCTGGAATTCAGCCATTCTGGGAAAGAGAGGAAAAAGCCATAAACCAGGTTTTCCTCAGTTGGTCGCATTCAGTCAGTGTGATAAAGTCAGCATAAAGAAGTCAGGTGAGAGTTATGGAAGTTGTAGACCAACATATATGGACAGGATCAGGGTGTAGAAGGGTGATACTGGTTCTAATAGCTAGTTGGTTGTTCTATTATTTGGTTGTTGGTTGTTTATACTTTTGATACGTTTTTGCTGTAGATGATGGATGGATGGATAGATGGACGGACAGACAGATAAACAGAGGCATTGACATGTATATTTGGCCTTCATAGTTATGGGTAAATTTAGTAGATCTGTTACATAGTTTATGTGTGTTTGATAATCTAAAAGACATGCTTCCAAGTAGTTGTGCATATAGTTGTTTGTTTACAATGAAATGCTTATAATTTAATATCAAGATAAGGCAATATTTTCCTCAAGCTCATAATCCAGAAAAACAGAAAACAGAAGAAAAATCGGATAGAAAAAAATATCTTTGCAACTATAGATTGTTTGAGGTGGTTACTCAGCAGGTCAAATCATTTACAAGTACTAAAAAGATCGGCTTCTTAGAAAACCTGGTTTCTCTTTTTTTTGTGGCTATTATGCCAATTCTTGAGATGAAATCGAAGCAATTCAACAAATGAGTGTAAGAGGACAAGAGGAGTGATGGAAATCAGGTTCCCAAGTCAGGCTTGATCCTGTGTGTCACTTCTCCATTTGATCTGCCTGCACATGTTTTCCTACAAAACCCAGTGAAGAACATGCTATGCAAATAGTTTCCTTATTTTAAGAAACTGCTAAAAGCAGATGGAACTTGGATGTGATCTTGAAGTAAACCTTAAGTAAAAATCCTATCTATGTTTGTTTTCTTCCTAGAAAAAGATCTACAAGTACAAGAAAGTGCTGAGTAATCCAAGCCGCTTAGAGGTGGTCTTGAAAGAAATCCGGACTTTGGTGGATATGGCATTAACTTCCCCTTTGCAGGATGAATCCATCCATCAAGCCCCTTTAGAAATAGTTTCCAAGTTGCTTTCGGAGGTAAGTCTTTGGCAATGATATTTCTTCATTTCTGTTTTCCATGATCCAACTAGTATGTCCAGTGCAGCAGATTTTTAGGCAGAATCTATTATAGGGTGGTGTAATGGCTAAAACGCTGGGTTTATCGGCTGAAAGCTGGCAGCCCACAGTTGAGATCCAAGCATCGCGCAGTGGGGTGCCTAGTTCCTGTCCACCTAACAGTCCAAAGGCATGTAAATGCGAGTAGATAAATAAGTACCACTTCAGTGGGGAGGAAACAATGTTCTGTAATGTCATGCTAGCCATATGACTGTGGAATCGTCTTCGGACAGTAGTGGCTCAATGGCCTTGAAACAGAGATGAACGCCTCTTCCTATAGTATTGATAATAGATAATCAGAGTTGGAAGGGACCTTGTAGGTCATCTAGTCCAACTCACCCAAGCAGGTGACCCTACACCATTTCTGACAAATGGCAGTCCAATCTGTTCTTGAAAGTCTCAAGTGATGGTGCTCCCACAATTTCTGAGGGCAACTTCTGTTCCACTGATTGACTGTTCTCTCTATCAGAAAGTTTCTCCTTATTTCCAGGTTAAATCTCTCCTTCTTCAGTTTCCATCCATTGTTTCTTGTCTGGCCTACAGGTGCTTTAGAAAATAGCTTGACCCCCCTCCTCTCTGTGACAGCCCCTCAAATATTGGAAGACCTCTATCATGTTTCCCCTGGTCCTTCTCTTCCCTAGACTAGCCAGGCCCAGTTCCTGCAACCGTTCATCATATGTTTTAGCCTCCAGTCCCCTAATCATCCTGGTTGGCCTTCTCTGTACTTTTTCTAGAGTCTCAACATCTTTTTTATAGTGTGGTGACCAAAACTGGATGCAGTACTCTAGGTGTGGCCTTACTAAGGCTTTATAGAGTAGTATTAGTACTTCCCTTGATCTTAATTGTATGCCTCTGTTAATGCAACTTTGGATTGCATTAGCTTTTCTGGCTGGCTCATATTTAGCTGGTTGTCCACTAAGACTCCCACAGTTACTGCTATTGAGTCAGCAACAACTATAAACTCTTCAGAGACCCCTTTCCTTCCTATTATAGGGGTGTCCAACCTTGGCAACTGTAGGACTTGTGGACTCCCAGAATTCCCAATATTTCAGTGTAATCACTCTATCCATAAGTTAAGGACTCACCATTTAAAAATCCCGCCTATTAAAAATCCTTCCCCATAATAAAGACATGTGAGAATCTGATTTACACCATCCTAGGCTGGTTGTCCCATCTGGTTTGATAGTTTAATCTCTTGTTTGGAACCCTTATGGTTTATTTTGAATGATTGTAGATGGGAACTCGTGAATGATTATTGTCAAGATGGGAAGTGTTTGAGTCACCATCAGCTATTGAGTTCACTGGTTTGGTGGTTCCAGGATAACTGGAAGAAATGGGAGATGTTGGGAGGGTCATCAGTGTTGCAACATGCTCCCTTTCTCAGCACCTGGATCTTTTGAGCGATGCATGATCCGTTGGAATCATCTAGCCCAGGGGTCTGCAACCTTAAAGACTCAAAGAGCCATTTCAACCCATTTCCCACAGAAAACACCGGGAGCCAATAATTTAACAACCAGTGTGACTGGGTAGGTGTGGCCAACCCAATGTCACTCACGCCCACCCAGTCACCTCCTTCTCTGGAATATGGAGCGAGTCTCCATCCCCCGCCATCACCCTTACCTTCTCGGGCCAGGTGAGGGGGGAGGGGAGGGGCCAGCCAGTGGTGGGATCAGCTGACAGGGAGCCGCAGCAGAGAGCCAAACGTGCCGCGTGCGGCTCCAGAGCCACAGGTTGCTGACTCCTGATCTAGCCTAAGGGGTGATTCCCCAGACTGATTGGAAATGGGCCCCTGTGGGAGAACAAACTAGATGATTCTTGAAACCAATGCAGATTGATTGATGGTGATGATGGTGACTGGCCATTGGTTTCTTAATGTAATCTCTCATGTAATGTAATCTCAATTTTATAAATGTAATCTTAACTCAATTTTGTAAACGTAACGTTAATGTAACCTCAATTTTCAGGCGACCAATTTAACTACTCAAGAGCATGAAAATATTATTGTGGTAAGTTACAAAAACTCTTTTTTTGTGGGGGGGGAATAATCTGTCTTCTTCCTTGAGTTTGACTTTTCTAGGGTATTCTTTCTCCCCGATTTGTCCCTGCCATTATTTTATATTTTTTTTGGAAAACTGCAGATTTAAAGTGGTTTCATTCCAAGCTTACGCAATCAAGAAATAGCTAAGAGCAGCATCTTAAGAGTTTGGGGACATTCTTTTCACCCCCACCCCCCCTAAAATATTTGGAGAGAAACAACAGGGTTCCGGAAGCTGCAAGAATTAAATGTTATAGCCCATTTGTTGAGTAGCTTGTATTATTTATTTATTTACATTCAGTATTTATTTACATTCAGAGTCTAAAAGGTTTTTAATAGAATGTGAGGATTGAAAGGGATATTCCAACTCTGGATGGCTTACAGTATTAAATTTGTGTTCATTGAGTTAATGGCACCATCTAACCATCTCCTTAGAAGGCCAGATCCTGAAGATGAAACTCAACTACTTTGGTCACCTAATGGAAGGTCTCACTGGAGAAGAGCCTAATTCTGGGAACGATTGAGGGCAACAGAAGAAGAAGGGAACGGCAGAGAAGGAGGTGGCTAGATGGAGTCACAGAAGCAGTCGGCATGAGCTTTAATGGACTCCAGAAGATGAAGGAAGACAGGAAGGTCTGGAGGAACGTTGTCCATGGGATCGCGATGGGTCAGACACGACTTCGCAACGAACAACAGCAAACCATCTCATCCTCTGCCGTCCTCTTCTCCTTTTGGTTGTTTCTTCAAGTCCAAGAGGAAAAGATATTCAGGCAGCTTGGTTCCCAAAGAATTGGTGCTCTGAGAAAGGATTGTCAGAAAGGATTTTGCAGAAGCTCTTCCAGTCTTTAAAAAAAAAACACACATCTGTTTTTGCAGTCTGGTACATGGAACTCTTTAGCCCCAGGACAGACTAAACCTTGAAGGACCTTCTATTCTGACAATACTTCATAATTTGCAATAGTAGCAGCAGTGACATAACCTGATTATGTGGCTGCTGTTACTCTTGGTGCCGTTACGGCATGCAACTGCATTTGGGTTGCCTAGCAATGGACTGAGAAAGGATGAAGTTAGGCATTGGAAAACAAGAGCTTTGTTGGAAAGGAAGAAGTTTCCACTTGCTTTGGAAAATAAATAGCTGTGTTCCTGGATTTGTTTTTGTTAAATCGGGAAACTCTTCAAAGAGGGTTGTTAACGCCAAGGAGGAAAGAGGGGTCCAAAGGATCAGAGGTGGATAAAGAGGTGATTTTCAGAATGTCTAAGTAATATGCTGCCCAGTGTTTGGGATAGGGCAGTCCAGATTCTTATTAAGAGTCCTGAAAAATCAGGGAAGAAGAAGAATGGTTTGCTCTGATGTTTAGCGATCTCTTGAATGAAATGTGATTCAGGATTCCGAAGAAGACTTTTATCTAATCTTCCATGGTACCTTTTGGCCTTACTAGAGCTCTTTTGTTCTTCTTATTGGAGATGGAAGAATAATATAGAGCCTATTTCTGATATAATGATCAGAGTATAAATGAATATGAACGCGGTTTCATTCCTTCATCCCTTTAGGCACTTGCTCCGTTGCTGGAAAACAACCACCCACCACCTGACTTGTGTGAATTCTTCTGCAAGGTATTTCTGATGTCTTTGTTTCTTGTCTTAATTTTTGCAACCGATGTCCAAACATTTCTTAGTGGCAGCTCCTTAAACAAGTTAAAATTTTGTTTGCAGAGGGTAAGGAAGGTGGAAATATGCAGAAACTGTTATCTAGACAAAAGGGGATAAAACCTTTTTTTAGCCCAGACAAACTTGGTAGCATTCAGAAGTTGCTTAGACAGATGTTTCCCTTACTGGAGCATAAATGGAGGAGATACAATGCAGTCAGTCTAAAGATGCTGCTATTGTAGCCCCTCTCAGTAAAATTTGTTTTAGCTTTCTAAAGAGCTAAAGAGTTGATTTCTTGTCTGATCTACCTAGTGAGGCTGTCCATAACTACAGCCCTCCAAGATTGGCTTAGATTATAAGCATCATAGGTGGTTGGTTGGTTGATTGGTTGGTTGGTTGGTTAGGGAGGTGGGGTAGGGGTAGAGAGAGAGAGAGAGGAAGGGAGGGAGGGAGAAAAGACAGAGAGAGACACAGAGAAAAATGAGCAAGCAAGCCAACTGTTTAGGATAAAAATTCAATTTGAGGGATGCTCCAGTATTTATTAACAACATTGTAGAATGCCTGTTTTGATATGTTTCCAATTATAACATAGGACCTTTCTATGCTATTGAAATAAATCAGTAAAAATGCTGACATCTATTAGAAATTCCCATCTAATATTGGCAATTTTGGGTTGCAAAATATTGTAATCCAGTGGACGAACCATTGATCGCTATTAGATCTCACTTGCTTTTAACTGAGACGGGTTCCAGGCTAATCCCTGATAGCTTCAGAAAGTAGATGAACAGGCAACATGAGACATTACTTCTGTGGTCCTTACTGAGAAATACTTTTGAAACCCTTCACAAGATCTATCCAGTAGATTTGGGGGAAAGAGCCCTTACAACTGATGGTTAACTTGTTAAGATTAATAGCAACGTTGGGGTAATTCACGGCAGTGGATTGTGCTTTTTCTCACCTCTTTTTAAACATAACAATCTCTTGACGCAGCATTGCCGAGAACGCCCTCGATCTATGGTGGTCATAGAAGTATTCACTCCAGTGGTACAGAGGATCCTAAAACATAACATGGTGAGTTCATCACTTTGTTGCCTTGGTTTCTGTAGAAAATCTTCACAATGCTGCTATTTTATGTGGTCTGTTATGTCCGTGTATTTATGGAACAAAGAAGCAAATACAGGGGTACCTTGGTACTCAAGTGCGTTCAAGCTCATCGAATTTGGTACTCAACGTATTTTGACACAAAAATGTCCCAGCATTCATCCTTTGTTTAGTCCCCAATGAATATACTAGAACTTGTGGATGTAGGCTGCCTTGTGACTCACTACATTATTCCTTATGGGGAAAATTTGTTTGGTAATCATCGTTTTTGGTACTCATTCATCCTCCCGGAACCTGTTAACGATGAGTACAGAGGTATGACGGTAGTCCTAAAATACTTAGCTTCATTCTTCAGTAGAAGCTTATCTCCATGTTTAGCTAAAATGGGAAATCTGGGAAAGTTTGTGGTTCTTTTCCCTCTTTGTCTTTTGAGAAAGATGGAAGACATGGAAAGGAATTGTGGAAAAAAACACCCCTTTTCCAAAAGTGAAACATGGAATGGTTAAGTAAATTCTCCTGCCTTTTTACCTGAAATGTTTTCTAGACACTATTTAATGGGGAGATTTATCTGTAGAACTTTCCTCATTTTGATACTGGTACAAAAAGAACAAGCGATGTATTACAGGTCGACAGGCGAGAACAGAAATGTTATTTCCTCCTTCAGGGGACACTGTGATTTATTTTCACAAGGGCAGGAAGGTCTTAGCCCTTCATCTGCTTCTTTCATCTTTCTTAATTGACTTTTATCCTTGAAGTTGAATCAAGGAGCATGATTGGACTGTAAAAGCTGCTGGGAAAAAAAAATTATGCACTGCACTTTTTTCCCCCTTCCTAGCATTTACTTGCAACGGCAAGGTCTGTTTCTTTCGGATCAATTGAGTGATGATCCATTGGTAGCGACAGGAATTGACCAACGGGCTTGTCACCCAAGATTGAGATTGTAGGCTGAGAGAGAGAGAGAGTGATTGGCTCAAAGTCACTCAGCAGGCTTTCATTCCTAAGGCAGGACTAGAACTCACCATTTCCTGGTGGTCAGTCCAAAATCACCCAGCTAGCTTTCATGCCTAAGGCAGGACTAGAACTCACCATCTCCTGGCGATTGGTCCAAAATCACCCAGCCAGTTTTCATGCCTAAGGTAGGACTAGAACTCACCATCTCCTGGTGATTGGTCCAAAATCACGCAGCCTAAGGCAGAACTAGAACTCACAGTTTCCTGGTTTCTAGCCTGATGCCTTCACCTCAAGGCCAAACTGATCTTTGTCAGTCTTGTCTGGGCTGAGAAACAAGACAGGGTCAGGCTTGATTAACATTTTGATGGAGACTGTCTCTCTCCACCAAAACCCTGAAAATTGCTATCAAATGTTAACAAAACTGGATTCAATAGCCTGATTTTATATTCTTATGTCTGCTTCCATTTTCCTATTAAATATAGATCTTAATCCATTGAAAGCAATGTAGTTGCCTAAGTAGTATTTTTTTTTAAATTCGGCAGTAACCTTCCTCTGAATCAGCTGCCGAAACCCTACAATGAAACAATCACTTTTATGCTTTGCAGCAAATCTTTTGTTTTACAAATAGTACAAACCCCACTTTTAAAAACAAAAAACAAAACCCAGGCTGATTTTGCAGAGTTTTACAAGACGATGGAACATGAAACGGCTTGTGCCAAGAGGCTAGCGTTTCACCTGCAATTTTTCACTTGGCTGGTCATATGTTTGCCTTTTGCAAGAATCTGGTGGCACTGTTTCACATGTGCAAATTTAAAAACAAAAAACTGCACAGCCGTTCAAAAAAGAAAAGCTATCTTGGTGGGAACCAACTGTGGGATTATCCCCAAACAGTGTCAGTTCCAGTATGCAAAAGAGAAGTTGACAGTCGGTTGGAGCTCTAGTGGAAGATCCTTCTTAACTGCACAGGGTGCTTTGAGTAATCAGGGTAGAACATGAAAAGCTGAGATTGATGGTCTGCCTTTGCAACTTCATTTTCTCCCCAGCCGATGCTCAGCTTTCGCATTGCCCCAGCTCCAAAAAGACTCAATCTTTTTGGTCCTGATGAATTTGGAGAACTGCCATTTGTGATATCATGTAAACATTTGTTATGCTAATGGAATTCTAAGTGGAGGCATAAATCGGTCAAAACATCTCGACTCCTTTTGTGAGTTTGTACAGTCCTGTTCACAGGCCAGGCAGGGGGGCTGATAGACACAAGCCTCGGCCAACGGACTGAGGAATTTCACAAAGACTGCACAAGGCAGTCACAGTGGGCAATCAATCATTTATGTCCAACGCTGCTCGCTCCCTGTCTGAAGCAATCACACATGCAACAAGTATCTAAACTGTTCCTGAACTTTTTCGTATCAGTTTTTAAAATATCCTTGCTTTTATTCCTGGATGGGACAGATATTGTGGTGTGGCACCCATAACAACATAAAAGAACATGGATTACCTTCATTTGCCAATATCTGGCAATTTAGCTGGGCCCTCTTCCACTCTGAACAGAAGCAATAGCAATAGGACTTAGACTTATATACCGCTTCACAGTGCTTTACAGAGTCAGCCTTTTGCCTCCAACAATCTGGGTCCTCATTTTACTGACCTCAGAAGGATGGAAGGCTGAGTCAACCTTGAGCCCGTGAGACTCGAGCTACCAAATTGCCGGCAGTCAGCAGAAGTAGCCTGCAGTACTGCATTCTAACCATTGCGCCACCACGGCTCACGACTTAGATATATATGTTGTTTCATAGTATTTTACAGCTCTTAGTGGTTTACAGTGTCATTATTATTTTGGTATCATTAGAATTGGGCACATATGGCCAACATCTAGCTTAAGGTGTCTTCTGCACTGTTTGACTTTGGGGATTTGCTCCCAAGGACTCCAGAAGCAACTTAATTCTGGAAAGATAGCAATAGCAATTAGACTTCTATACGGCTTCACAGTGCTTTTACAGCCCTCTCCAAGCGGTTTACAGTGTCAGCCTTCTTGCCCCCAACCATCTGGGTCCTCATTTTACCAATCTTGGAAGGATGGAAGGCTGAGTCATCCTTGAGCTGGTCAGGATCAAACTCCTGGCTGTCTGCAGAATGAGCGTGCCATATGGCATTCTAACCACTGCACCATCACACTTTGCAATTCCCCCCCCCCTTTGTTTTGGCTGACAAACATGCTTAGTTATTTTTGACTGCTTCCCCTTCCTTCTGCACAGGTATTTTTCTCCCAAAATGTTTGTTCTCTCTGTCCCTTGATCTCATCAACTCCTGGCTCCCTATGGCTCTCATTTGGGCTACATAAGGTTCTGAACAAAAGAATGAGTTCACTATTGGTCTTTAATGTGGACGTGCATCCTGAAGCCTTCCAGATGTTTGTAGTGGCCCATAACTTCCATCCACAATGGAAGATATAGCTTGAAACCGCAGGAGAACATTCGGCGGCAGATTCTGTTGACCAATTTAGACTACTGCATGTCCGCAATCAACCCTTAATTCCAAGTAAAACCGAAGACCCAAATGTTCAAAAGAAAACAAGGATACCTATTGCCTGAAGCTATCCATTTAGCTTGACATCCAAAGCTGTGAAGCTCACCAGTGTTGTAATAACATAACAGCAGCAAATTAAATAACTAGCAAATTTGCTGCTTTTTCGTGACATCTAACATCAGCTGGCTGCCTCATTCTGCCTCAGAATCGGCCTGGCCCTTATTTGGCATATTTATTCTTTTTGCAAACTTTCTTGGAGCACGTTTCTTTCAAGCAAGAGAAACCTTTCAACCACCTGATCTTGGAAAAGGCAAAGTTCAGAGCTGTGAAAGTTTGCAAGCAATTAAAGAAATCGGTGACAAGTATGAGCATATCTTGGAAAACGACCTCTCTGCATTGGTAGCATTTGAATTTTAGCAATGAAATAGGTGGGCTTATTTTAATCCAGTCTTCTAATCCAGGGGTCTCCAACCTTGGCAACTTTAAGACCTGTGGATTTCAGCAGCTGGCTGAGGAATTCTGGGAGTTGAAGTCCACAGGTCCTAAAGTTGCCAAGGTTGGAAACCCCTGTTCTAATCGGTGGGCAATGCCTCCCACCCAACCCAGTTAGTCAGGCTGGCTGGGGAAGATGGTTGTTGCACTCAGGGCATTTGTAGGGCACCAAGTTGAGAAAGGTTCTTTCAATTAATTAAGAAAAGGAAAAAAGAATACATCTCGTCCTTGACTTCACAACCATCATTGGGAACCAAAATTTCAGTTGCTAAACAAGGTTAAGTGAATCATGCACAATTTTACAACCATTCCTGCCACGGATATTAAGAGAAACACTGCAAGTAAGCGAATTACATGGGTGTTTAAGGGAATCTGGCTTCTCTCATTGACTTCACTTGTCGGAAACCACCTGAAAAGTTCACAAATGGTGACATGACCCAGGACACTGCAAGTGTTGTAAATACATTTTTTAAGTTTCTTTTATTATTTTTTTACTTTAACTTTTTAACTTTGCACAAAATTGGAAAAATGACGAGATCCCTACGGATGAGAATTGTGATTAGGAAAATATTAGAATGTGCAGGAATGAATAGATTAACGCTTGCTATGAAGGAGGAAGAACAAACTGAATATTGTGTGGTGTGGCAGCTATTTTTACGGATAGCTGGAGAATAAAAACAGAAGTAAGAAATAAATGGAGATTAGTGAAATAAAGAAGAGATGTTAAGATAGAGATGTAAACAATATGATGATGATTAATATGATTGTTAAGCTTATTATACCTATTATAATATTATATTTTCATTAGAAGATATGTTAAGAGGGAGAAATAACTGGAGTCTTAATGCTGATTATTATTGTTGTTACTCTTTGGTGAGATTCACAGCCTTTGGGGCTGGTTGATAACTCAACAGCTCGAGTCCTAACCAAGGACCAAGGAACTGCTCAGGTAACATCGGAGGATATAAGCTGTTCCAAGTAGGGTGGTATTTTATAGAATCAGGGTATTCAAGTCTGATAAATTCAGGATTTCCAAATAGCGAGATAGCCCTTTAGGTATTGCTCCAAAGGCTCCAATTGCAATTGGGATAACACACAATTTATTTTTCCAAAGTCACTCAATTGCAATTTGTAAGTCGCGGTACTGTGTGATTTTTTTCTTGCTGCTTATCTTCAATTTGTGCATCACCAGGTGTTGCAATGTCAATGAACCAACCTTTTTTCTTTTAAACTATTGTTATGTCAGGTATGTTGTGGGCCAAGTGCCTGTCAGCCTGAATTCTGAATTCTACTATTATTATTATTATTATTATTATTATATTATTATTATTATTATTATTATTATTATTATTATTATTATTATTATTTTAGAGAATTTTTATCAATGTAACTGTAATACTGTAAATTTTGATTGTAATAGCACAGAGACATTTGCACCCAGATGACATACTGTTTAACAGAAGATTATAAGTTAAAAGCCAAGCACCCCAATACTGATCACCTGACCATGGAGATGCTGTGACAGTCAGAAGGGCGAGGACTGGCCCTAAGTCACCTTTTTTAATGCCATTGTAACTCTGAGTGACCATTAAATGAATTAAGTCAAAGAATATCTGTATAAATACCGATTGAAACTTTTCCCTTTCTCAAGACATCCTTATTGAAAGTCCAGACCTTGGCACTTCCGAGTCTTAAATATCTCCTTTTTTTTTTCCTGTTTTGGAAAGGATTTTGGTAAATGTCCTCGGTTGCGGCTCTTTACTCAGGAGTATATTCTGGCCTTGAATGAACTGAATGCAGGCATGGAAGTGGTAAAGAAATTTATCCACAGGTAAATATGCGTGTGTGGTCAAAATCTCTGTCCCTTTGCAGGGCATTTGTCTCATCCGCGCTTCAATGGCTTTCCCTGCCAGTAGCTTTGGTCGGCAACATTTTGCCATGGGTTTAACTTACCTGCAAAAACAAGGAAGGAAGGGTTGTTTGTCTATGGAGATTTCTCAGTCATCCAGGTCATGGTTGTCCCAATCATGTTTTTTCAAAAGGCAACTGGGACTTTGTTTTTCCTTGAAGAGGTGTCACTTCTCATCCAAGAAGCTTCTTCAGTTCTGATTGAATGG